AAGGAGCACTGGAATAGCTAAATATGTCTTTTGAAAGCCAAACAAAGTATCAAGAAACGGGAAGATGTCATTAGAAACAAAAAAAAAGGACTGTTGGACGTCTATGAAATAACAATTTTCTCAAACAAACAGAAGAAGGCTGGACAATTTCCTCACTTAGGATGAGGAAACCTCAGCCAACAGAAACATCTCAAGTGAATACCACGAACTGAGCTTGAAAGCATGAACTTCTAAAATAATTGAAGTAAAATGAATCAGAAAAATTCTATTGAAATTTACTAACTGTATAACGAAAATAGAACTCTTGGAATATTTGACGGTCACATGACATATTGAAAGAACTGAGGTCAAAACGGTGTAACCTATTTAATGAGATTGGGTAAAAAAGACAAAGACTAATGAAAACTACAGAATAAAAGGATGTTGTGGTGAGCTATGATCCCTCACGTAATAAAGTTCCATGGCAAATAGAAGATACTGAATACGGCTAATCACCTGTGACGCCTTCTTTAATTCTCTCTTTCTTTCTATCTTTCTTGATAAGGGAGTTTTCAAGAATGAATTGGAACAAAAAGACCCTTGTATTTAAGTTACAACAGTAATTTATGGAAAGCATAACGACGAAAAATGATTTACAACAGGTGTTGGCAACGTACATGTGGCACGCCAAGCAATTTCCAATGGCACGCAGCCGCAAATGACATCACGAAGTCCGAACCAATTAACTACTACAACACAAAGAAGATATTTAGCTGTTTCAATTTTAATATATACTAAAGTATATATGCTATATATTACTATATAAAAAAGACAATAAAAAAGAAGATATTTGGAAAATCTATTTCTTAGTCATTGCCGACGCGTTTCGTCTATATGACTTTATCAAGGCAAGTTTAAAAGCGATATGTTTTAAAGTTACACTAAATTCAAATATAAAGGGAACGTTCCTGTGTATGTCTCGTTCTAGATGTGTTGTGTCGGAAACCTACCACTCCTCTTGAAGATGAACTTGTCTGCGTCTGTGAACAAAGATTTTAAATAGTGGTATGTCAGTTGACATGGGGGAAGACAGATAGACCTGCGAGTCTATCTGAATCGTGATGAGCAGAGAGGAACCCGGACGAAGCTTTGCCGAATGGCAAGGTTTCGTCCGGGGAAATAGACATTTTATGAACCCGTCTAGAAAAACAAAGGCTATTTTTTGGCCGGGCCTACGGGATCGGGAATACCCACATTAAAACCGGCCTTGTGCCATATTCAATCTTCGTGGTGGATCGATAAATACCAAATCAGATAGACAGAGAAGTTCTTAGCTGAGCTAGTTATTGACTACTCAGGCGATTTTTGTATCTTTTTACCAACCTATTAAAACCCTTTTTATTGTTACGTGTTATTTGGCGTTTGTCTCTACTAACCCAAATCAACATCAGGATCTTAGTAACTTTTTTGGCTATGAATTTGTTCTAGTTTTCTTGCCGACATATTTTTAAATTTCTTAGAATAATTCGGAATGACGAAAGTGTCAGCAATGACTAGAAAATATATTTTCCAATTGTCTTCTTTTTATCCAAATTTTCATATCACCAGAATTATTCTGAGAAATTTAACAATAAAATATATTGTAGAACAGGTATATTGACCTGGACCTGTATAAAAAATACGTATGCTGTTGACACATTGAATGATTTTAAATCCCTAAGTCGGAATATAACAAAAGGTCCCTGTCCCCTGGTTTAGAGAATTTAATCCTCACAGAATTTATTGAAAGTGGAAGCATGCAGAGGAAAATATCGAAGAATTTACCAAAAATCCTGTTTGGATAGCTTAGCTTATCTGGAGGTAGACACGCTTTGCTTAGTGCTACCCAATATAGAAAGTCGTGGAGATCCATGATCGCACACGCCCTAAACGTATACGGAAAATAGAAGAGATTGATTATGTGATGTACTTTTACTCTCTGTCGCGCGCATGCGCTCTCAAAATGAATGTTTACGAAAAGTGGGAATAAAAAAGATACCGGAGTAGGAAGAGACAAATAATTTACCAATCTTCTGGGGATTGCAGAACTTTTACAGAAAGGAGTCGAAATATTCCTTAAAGACAGAAATATAGGAAGGTGTGGAGTGCCCTGACAACTCACGCCCTGAAAGTATAGGACCTATCAATATCGCAAGTACTTTTCAGGCCATCCAGCTTCCACCATTATCTCGAGTGGCAATCTCCATATTTAATTCCATCTCTGCAAACAATGTCTTAGATAGAATTAATGTTTTTTTTTTATCACCGTTATTTTTATGGGCATCAAAGAAAATTGTCCCACCAGAAGCTTCAACGATTCAGTTATTTTACAGCCGTTGTTAATAAAACAAAACGCCATATTTTTTCGGTCACCTTTGACCATTCATATTTTACTGACGTCAACAAAGTTCTCTTAACCGCACTCAAAGGGATTCACCTCTCCTCCATTGATGTTTTTGATCAGAGCTTGATTTTAATTAAA